TTTTTTTTTTTTCTTTTTTTTTTTTTTTTTTTTTTTTTTTTTTTTTTTTTTTTTTTTTTTTTTTTTTTTTTTTGTTTTTTTTTTTTTTTTTTTTTTTTTTTTTTTTTTTTTTTTTTTTTTTTTTTTTTTTTTTTGTTATTTGAAGCTTAGTGATTGTGTGGAAACTAGTCTAGTAGTGGAAAGATTTTTATTTAAAGTCTGAGTGCTTTGTATTTTATGTGATAGAAGAGTATACGTTGGTGATAATGAGTGAACATTTCTTCTGTGTAGCTATGACTTTGGAGAAACAAGATTACCTTGAATGATTCATTGTTCTATTTCCTCTTTGATGCTAATTGTTTCGTGTGAGACACTACACATTGTTTTTGTTGTTTGGAGTTTCTGACTTCAAAAGCCTAGTAGAGATTGTGTGGAAACTAATCTAGCAGTGGAAGTGCTTTAATGTTTAGGCCCTTACCTCTACTGCTCTGAAGAAAGGAGGCGTGCATGCTGCTGACGTTACCACTCAATACAAGTACAAGAATGCTGTATTCGATGTCAAAATCGACACTGATTCTAGTGTAAGTCTTTTCACTATATCCAGTTAACACTTAAAACCAAACACATCCGTGTTTCACCTTATATGTTCTTTGCTTGGCAGGTTTTGACAACAGTCACATTCACAGAGATCCTCCCATCGACCAAAGCCATCGTCTCCTTCAAAGTCCCTGACAACAGTTCTGGCAAGGTTAACAATCAGAACCCATTTTCTGTATGCCTTTCAGTGGTTTTTGAGTTTTAACTTTCGAATTACATTAACAGCTCGAGGTCCAATACTTTCACGACCACGCAACAGTCACCGCAACTGCAGCGTTGAAGCAGAACCCATTGATCGACATAACAGCCACTCTAGGCACACCAGTCATCTCCTTCGGTGCCGAAGCTGGATACGACACATCCTCCAAAACTTTCACCAAGTACAACCTCGGACTCAATGTCTCCAAATCAGATGCATCCGCTTCCATTATATTGTAAGCAGAATCATCAAATCAGTAGCTATATGTCTTGTGTGGTTCTGGTCTGAATCTTTTTAACAGGGGAGACAAAGGAGACTCGATCAAATCATCTTACCTTCACCACCTCGACGAATCCAAGAGAAGTGCTGTAGTTGGTGAGGCTTACAGGAGATTCTCGACTAACCAAAACACGATAACCGTTGGTGGATTATATGCGATTGATCACTCGACTTCAGTGAAAGCTAAACTCAACAACCACGGCACACTCGGTGCTCTTATACAGCACGAGGTCATGCCCAAATCACTAGTGACTGTTTCCAGTGAGATAGACACCAAGGCGTTAGACAAGCATCCAAGATTTGGTCTTTCACTTGCTCTCAAACCTTGAGAACATCACACACACAATCATGAGATGAGTATTCGAACCATTCTTCTATTCTCTCGTTTGTTTAATTCTCTACGACATGACCCGTTGGTTTACAATTACCTGAATAAGTAGTTGCCGCAGTGATATTGACGGATATGTTTGTGAATTTTTTGTTTACTCAGCAATATTCTTGGTACATTTTATTTTTACCATTTCTTCGTCCGTTACGAAAACCAAACCAAAAAATAAATAAAATTGTGTAATCTGCGGGATTTTATTACTTTAAAAGAACTGTATGTGATTGGTGGAGAAGACTAGTGGCAGTTACATAATATATAGCTAAGGATCCATTTAAATACTGCAACCTAACGTATGCAACGCTCAACACATTAATTATATTTGTTTGATGATAAGGTTGATTATCTGTTAAACAAATAAAAAAACAAAGCTTACCAAATCAGAGTTGGAATGTAATCTCTTTAGCTATTGGATTAGGTGAATCCGACAAAGCACACCGATGTCATCGTGGCGTACCACTCGGCTTCCACAAGCCAAATAAACAAAACACATTTGTTCTATAAAAACTGAAGGGACAAGACAACAACATTATTTGCTGTAACTCGCGGTTCCGTATTCTTTGGAATTACTTTTTTTATTTTGCTTTAGATATATATGGATTTTGCGGCGGTTACGAGATGTGTGGGAAGGTTCTACGTCTCGCCAGCTTTCGGAGAGTCGAGGAATCTGAAGTTATCGTTGTCTGATTCCCGGAGTTTGAAGTTTCATGGGAAAAGTCAACGGAGACTTAGCTTCTTCCGTCCCATCATGGCGACAGATGAGTCAGTTTCTGCACTGCCTGGTATGATTTATATGTGATTTGGCTTTGTGTTGTTGATGTCAAATGTATTGAGTCTTGTAGTATTCAATGCAAGCAGCTTTGTCACTGTTATTATACTTATATATGAATGGTTCTACTTAAACTAGGTGAAACGCAGCAAATCAACGGAAACATAGTCTGGCATAACTGTCCCATCACAAAATCAGACAGACAAGAACTGATTAAGCAAAAGGGATGTGTCATTTGGATTACTGGCTTAAGTGGTTCAGGTTTTGATTCTTTAATTGTGATTAACCTCTCTCTCTCTTAAGTGTGATTCCTTTCAGATTTTACTTTTTTTTCAGGGAAGAGTAGTTTGGCGTGTGCGGTTAGCAGAGCTTTGTACAACCGTGGAAAGCTTACGTATATCCTTGATGGTGACAATGTTCGACATGGTTTAAACAGCGATCTTAGTTTCAAAGCTGAAGATCGAGCTGAGAACATTCGGAGAGTTGGTGAAGTCTCCAAATTGTTTGCTGATGCTGGGATCATTTGTATTGCTAGTCTCATCTCTCCTTACCGTAAAGAACGAGCTTCTTGTCGTGCATTGTTACCACAAGGAGATTTCATTGAGGTCTTTGCAAAATTCATAAATGTGAAGCCAGAAGCTTACATTAAATGTTACCCTATATGTTGATAGTCTTTCTGTCTTTTTTTCGTTGTTGTTGTTGTCTTGTTAGGTGTTCATGGATGTGCCACTCCATGTTTGTGAAGCTAGAGACCCAAAGGGCTTATACAAGCGTGCACGCGCTGGCAAAATCAAAGGTAATTAATTATTCCTCTGCATCTGTGTTTCTTTAACTTGTTTGATCTTCTTTAGCCATACACCTTCGTTACTAATATATATGTTCTTTTGTTTGTTCTCCCAAAATTATTTCGACTTCAGGTTTCACAGGAATAGATGATCCTTATGAACCACCTTTGGATTGTGAGGTTCGTATATATTTTAGTGATCATACTCTATTTACTAGTTTTTTTGAATCATTGGCCTACTACTATGCCTTGCAGATTGTGATTCAAAACAACAGGGATGAAAATTCATCTTCATCTATTTCCGAAATGGCAGAGATTGTTGTGTCCTACTTAGATCAAAATGGATACCTCAAGCCGTCGTAGATAATCACACTCCACAAAATCACATAAGGATATAGTTAAAATATGTTCAAACATGTCTTTGCAATATGCTTAAAAGTATCAGTAGTCTCGTGTCATGTATGATAGTATGAATCATTACCCCCCATGTTTCATTGTTTGAATGTGATAATAAAAAATCATGATTGGAATGTTCCCTGACCTTTTGAACGTGACCAGATGATCAAAAGACTCATCTGAGGGTGAGAATTAAAAACATTTAGCGATAAAGATGACCTAAGTTGGCGCCAACTCACAGATGAATAGCGGTTATCATTGCTTCAAGCTTAAATTTGTTGGCCCAAATTAAAAATAAGGCCCATTAATTGAATTGGGTGGGATCTATTTGGGCCGCAGTGGAAACTGTTTCTGCGTCTTCTATTACACGCGCTGACGAAGGCTGAGTCGTCTTAAATCCCCAAATCCGAACGTTAGGGTTTCTGGCAGCTTCTAAAATCGAATTTGAAACTCAATTCCTTTTCACTTTTCTTGATTTTCGAAAAGTAGCCGTTGTTTATTTCTTATTTCATTTTTTAATTTAGACAAAAAGTAGCCGTTGTCTGATTTTCGAAAGTAGCCGTTGTCTGATTGTCTTTTTCTCTATAAATACACCATCAACGATCTCGTATTCAGACCAGACCACCCCACTTCCAAAAAAAAAAGACAATAAGTCTCTCTGATCAATTGTGTCTCCTTAAGACAATAAGGAGTTACAACAAAGATCATGTTCGGCGACGGGAATTGGCGCCGACGAAGCTAGACCTTGCTCGGTTCCAACTGATTCGCTGATGACTGATGCAACCTCAACTTATAGAGGTACAATGCTTCTATCTCTCTCTCTTTCTCTTTGTCTCCGTTTAGCGAGTTTATTTAGAGATTCATCGGTTGATTTGATCACAAAAAACAAAAAAATCTATTAGATCTGTTTAAGGTGTTAAGATAGTTTGATTTTACCAACCTTATCACTCGTATGGTTTAGATTGAATTCAGTTTTTCTTATTCTTGATGTTTTTGCTTTGCAGGTGAGAAGGCAAAGTCACATGAAGCAAGCTACGTGTGTCTCTCTCTCTCAGTCACAGTCACCGTTTCTGAGTCAAGATTCTCTTTCTCAGCCGTAAGGTATAAAATCCTCTTCTTTCTCTGTTTGTTTTGAAAAGTTTTTTCTTTTTGCAAAAACTCTTTTATTTTTTGGAAGGAGATTTCTATATTGCTGGATTGATAGACACTTTGTGAATTCATAATGTGTAAAATAAAATAGAACTAGTGTCCTGTCATTAAATTGTCCGTTAGAGATCGTTATGTTTCATTTGCCTCTTTATACTTGTGATTTTTACTTAAGTCAATCGAAATCAGTCCGGCAATTAAAATCGTCTTTTTAAAAAAAGAAGAAGAATGTTTTGTTTTTATTGGGGGAAATTTCTATATTACTGGATTGGTAGACACTAAATGATCATGATGTGTAAACAAATAGAATTTGCATCCGGCTTGTTAGAGATTGTTAAGTTTCATTTCCCTTTACACTTGTGATCATTTTTAGTCACTCAAAATCAGTATTGGTAATTAGCAGTTTCCCCCAATTCGTATTTTTCATCGGTTTTCTTAAAATGTTTTTTTTTATGCTTGTTTATTTGTTTGTTGTTTGCTTGCTTGTTTGGTTGTGTGTTTGATTCGTTTGTGCAGTTAGGAATCAGTGATGATGTGTTATGGAAGTGGGACGTTGAAGAAAGTTCTGTCTACCTATCTTCTCAATTTCATACAAGGTATGTTATATAGTTTATCATTCATTTTGTATGGCACTGAAAATAGTGTTTCATTTGACGCCAATAATAGTCTGAACATGTACTGTTTTACCATTAAACTAGGTTCAACGCATCATATCAACGGACATCAAAAGAACATCATCGTCTGGCATTCTTGTTCCATCACTTAATCCGACAGACAAGAACTGATTCAGCAATTAGGATGTCAAGTGGTTCTTCAGGTTTGGTTGTTTGATCTCTCTCTCTCTCTCTTTTTAGTTCCTACTTGATTACTTCTGATCTTTCTAAAATGTTTGTATGTTTCAGGGAAAAGTAGTCTGGCATGTGCTCTTAGACGAGGTTTGTACAAACCGTGGAAAGAGCTATTATAGTATTGCATTGTTACCACAAGGAGATATCATCGAGGTCTCATCCAAAATTCATAAATGTGAATCCAGAATCAACATGAAAACTTAAAGTTATGTTGCCCTGTAAAGGTGTTCATGGATGTGCTGCTCCATGTTTGTGAAGCTAAAGACCCAAAGTGCTGGCCAAATTGAAGGAGATATTATAGTATTGCATTGTTACCACAAGGAGATATCATCGAGGTCTCATCCAAAATTCATAAATGTGAATCCAGAATCAACATGAAAACTTAAAGTTATGTTGCCCTGTAAAGGTGTTCATGGATGTGCTGCTCCATGTTTGTGAAGCTAAAGACCCAAAGTGCTGGCCAAATTGAAGGTAACTTATTCCACTGCATCTGTTTTTTTTTTTTTTTTTTTTAACTTAACCCAACTTGTTTGATCTTCTTTAGCCACACCGTCATAATCATCTGCTTCTTTTTCTTTTTCAGGTTTCATCTCTTTCTGAAATGGCAGAGATTGTTGTGTTCTACTTAGACCAAAATGGATACTTCAAGCCGTCGTAGAGAAAAGTCACATAAAGATTTGGTTAATATGTACAAAAACAATCCTTGTAATCTTTTGTTCTGCTCAAAAAGTGAAACTCATGGTCAATGTAATAATGTATGATGTTTGTAAAGTTCCCTTAACCTTTTGGTCATGACCAAATAGTCACTCAAAAGTATTAATCTCATTTCATTGAGATAACAGTTTGTAACGTTTCTCAAACCTTTAACGTGACCAAATTAAGTCACTCAAATGATTAATGAGAGAATGAGAATGAAACATGAGTTGGTTTACGCTTAAAATAGTCGGCCCAAATATTAAAATCAAGCCCATTTATCGAACCAAGTGGGATTGTATTTGGGCCGAATCGGGCTTTACGGCGGCGACTGTCTAAAATAATAAAAAAAAAACAAAAACGCGGTGGGCGAAGGTAGCCGTCTCAGATCTCAATCGGAACAACGTCAGGGTTTCTTTCAAACGAGCTTGAAAAAAAACCTATTAGCTCGTGTAATCCGAAAATCGAAGAAGATTAAGAAAGATGGGGAAGAAACAGCACAGCAAAGATCGAATGTTCATAACGAAAACAGAGTGGGCAACAGAATGGGGAGGAGCTAAATCAAAAGAGAATCGAACTCCTTTCAAGAGCCTTCCCTTCTACTGCTGCGCGTATGTTATTGAACTTAATTTTAAATTTCGATCCTTCTTAATCAATTGTGTATTTCTTCAATCTTTCTCAGGCTCACGTTTCTACCGTTCGAGGATCCTGTGTGCACAGCAGACGGCAGCGTTTTCGAATTAACGTTAAGTAAATTTCACAAAGAGCTTATTATTATTAAAACCTAATTAATTTTCACACCCTAACTAACTAACTAACTTAACCTTTGATTTTGATGAAAATTACAGAACGATAGTGCCTTACATAAGGAAGTTTGGTAAGCATCCAGTTACAGGAAAGCCTTTGAAAGGAGAAGATCTCATTCCTCTTGTCTTTCACAAGAACTCTGAAGGTTTTGTTTTATTAATAATCTGATTCATTTGTTTTGTTGTGAATTGCTGTAACGTTATCTGTGTGGGTTTGTAGGGGAGTTTCAGTGTCCTGTTCTGAACAAAGTGTTCACTGAGTTTACGCATATTGTTGCTGTTAAGACTACAGGAAATGTATTCTGCTACGAGGTCTGTGTTTTTTTTTTTTTTTAAATACTAGTGGTGCTTGTTTTTGGAGAGTTATTAGTGATTCTTTATAGTTGTGTTTATATTAGGCAATTAAAGAGTTGAATATCAAGACAAAGAATTGGAAGGAGCTTTTAACAGAGGAACCATTCACTAGGGCTGATCTTATCACTATTCAAGTACAGTTCTAATCTCTTTACTCTCTCTGCAACTTGAAGCTTTTTTCTATGGGATCATGTCGTTAAAAGTGTTTTTTTTTAAAATTTTATGCAGAATCCTAATGCAGTTGATAGTAAAATAACTGTGGAGTTTGATCACGTTAAAAACGGCCTTAAGCTTGAAGATGAAGGTTTGATGATGCACAGAGCTATAATCTCATCTCAATCCAATGTTTTTATTTAGTTGTTTATGACTCTATTCTCTTGTGTGTGTGTTTTTTTTTTGATAAACAGAATTGAGGAAGATGAACTCAGACCCTGCTTATAATATAAACGCCTCTGGAGATATCAAGCATATGCTTGCGGATCTTGGAACTGACAAGGCCAAGGAGATTGCTTTACACGGTGGTGGTGGGAACAAGGCACGTAACGAAAGAGCGGCTGCTATTGCTGCGATTCTTGAGTCGAGGTCGAAAATCAAAGAGAGTTCTAAAGGAGACGAACCTAAGCAGACTTACAGTGTTGTGGATGCTGCATCTGCTTCGGTTTATGGAAGAAGTGCTTCTGCTGCTAAAGCTGGGTCCAGTGATAAAACAGCTGCAAGAATAGCTATGCATATGTCTGGAGATAGAGCACCTGTTAATACCACAATGGTTAGTTTTCTTGTACTCTCAATAAACTCGGTTTTGGATTTTGTGTTGTTAAAATGTTTTTCTTTTTTTTCTTCGTGCAGGTGAAGAGCCGTTATTCTTCGGGTGCTGCTTCTCGTTCTTTCACTTCCACTGCGTTTACACCTGTAACCGAAAACGATTTTGAACTAATCAAAGTCGAGAAGAACCCCAAGAAGAAAGGGTATGTTCAGTTTCGCACAACACATGGAGATTTGAACATTGAGCTTCACTGCGATATAGCTCCTAGAGCATGTGAGAATTTCATCACCCTTTGTGAACGCGGTTACTACAATGGAGTGGTCTTTCACAGAAGCATCAGGTAAAAATATATTGCCTTTTGAAGATTTTGAGAGCCTTTCTTGTGTTATTGTTGATTAATATAAGGGCCTTCTTTTGACCTTCTTCTACAAAAGGAACTTCATGATTCAAGGTGGGGATCCAACTGGCACAGGGAAAGGAGGTGAATCCATTTGGGGAAAGCCATTCAAAGACGAGCCAAACTCGAAGCTGCTTCACTCAGGAAGAGGCGTAGTAAGTATGGCTAATAGTGGTCCTCACACGAATGGTTCTCAGTTTTTCATCTTATACAAATCAGCAACCCACTTGAACTACAAGCACACAGTGTTTGGTGGAGTTGTTGGTGGTATGGCAACACTAGCAGCAATGGAGAATGTACCTGTAGATGAAAGCGACCGTCCTCTGGTACGTTTCAGTAAATTATTGAGTAACATCATATTCTAGTTTCAGCTTGACACTGTTTTGGAATTTCTGCAGGAAGAGATTAAGATTATCGAGGCAAATGTATTTGTAAATCCATACACAGAACCTGATGAAGAGGAAGAAAAAGAGAAAGCTGAGAAGGAGAAGAACGAAGACAAAGACATTGTTAGTATCATCTCTTCCACCAAATACAATCTTTCTCTTTGCTTTGAGTTGGTCTGTTGATAATATCTTATATATATACCTTTGTGCTGTAATCAGGAGAAGGTGGGTTCGTGGTATAGCAACCCAGGATCAGGCACAGCAGAAGCTGGAGCTGGTGGTGGCGGCGTTGGGAAATACTTGAAAACTAAGAGTAATACAACAACTAAGGACACTAATGGTGCCATAGACTCTGATATTGCAACCATTGGAGTATCTAAGAAAAGAAAAACAACTTCTGCTTCAGCTTCCACAGGGTTTAAAGATTTCTCTGGCTGGTAGGTGAAGAAATAACATTCTCTACCAGCTTTGTAAAACTGTTGACTTAGTCTTTTTGATTAGATCCCAAATCACAAGTTCATTGTTGTATGCCTACATTTGATGTTCAAAAGCTGAAGCTGAGTGAAACATTTCTTAGAAATTATTATATAATCCTCACAATGGTATGTATGAAAATCACCTAATCTACAAAATAAATCAACAGTGATCAGCACAGAGATCGGTAAGAAGAAAAACACATGTGTTTCTTTGTCTGTTTGTCCTAAGGTAGACGCCATTTACTATGCCAGTATATAGAAACTCTCGACCACATTGGGAACCCAAAACTGGACTCCAAAGGCTGATCAGCAGGTCCTCCTATAACTAACGGTAACCAAACATATCTTGAATCCCTCAAATCAGCAGGATTCCACCTATCCGCCATGAAGATAAACCCACCAGGAACACCAGGTAAAGGAATCACATAAGTGCTCTGCGCAAAGAACGTTGTTAACCGGTAAACTTTATTACCACCAATGCAGGGATTCCCCAACTTCTCCCATGGACCCATCACTGACTCAGAGGCATGAGCCAAGGCCTCATTAGGTGCCCAGCCAGTACACCAAGAAGTTACCATGTAATAAGTATTCTCATGCTTGAAGATAGCTGGAGCTTCCCTGTGTTGTCCAACCATTACTCTCTTCACAACCGGCGTCACATCTAAGTAGTCTTCAGTTAAGGGGCCGATATGAAGCACACTATTGACTTCAGAAGAGTAAAAAAGGTAAGCAACACCATCATCGTCTTTGAAAACAGTCATGTCTCGGCTATCGAACCCGTGTGGACGTTTGCTGTATAGATACTCAAACGGACCTGTTGGGTTGTCGCTGATGGCTACACCAACTGAAGCTTTGGTGTAGTTTGCGTCGTCGATATGCATCCACATCACATACTTTCCTGTCTTATCATTGTAGATCACTTTGGGACGCTCTAGAACGTTAGATTTATGTAGATCATGGGTCTTGTTTGTTTCTTCAGCTCGGAGTACAATGCCTTCATTTTTCCATGTCCATAAGTCTTTTGAAGAGTAACAACCTACCCCTATGATGTCAACCTGAAGAGTGAAGACAAGACAATAATGAATATTTACCCAATATAGCATAATAGCAACAAGGGTAGGCTTGGGCAATCGGAACCCAAATACCAAAATCGGAACCGGACCGAAATCCACAAATACTAGAACAGTTTCTACATTTCTATATCCTAAATAACCGAACCGAGAACTGAACGGATATCTGAATATATAAAAATATTAATATATATACATATCAAAATCTTCAAAAATCGGAACCGGACGAAACCTTCATAACAGATATCCAAATACATAAACTATGCAAACCGAACCTTAAACTACCTGAACCGAACCCAAACTGAAAATTGGCAGGTAGTAACATCCACTAGCCCCTTAGCCTAACTACTTGATACCCCGAAATACCCGAACCGATAACCGAAATGTCCAGCCTAAACAAGGGAAATGCAAATAGACCTTAAGTGAATGTACTTACTCTAGCTGGTCCTTTTTTGTGAGCATGGTAAGTTGGTCCATCTTTATATTCACCATACCAATAGTAAGTCTTAGATTTCTCATCGTGCAGAATCCCTCCGCCATGAGCTTGAATTGGGTTACCTTCTGTGTCCAACCAAATTTTCCCGGGAAAGTAATGAAACGTATCATTCCCCATGTCCTTGGTTGGACCAAAGGATGCGGTTTTGATGTCGGGAAAGAAGAGATGCCGGATTGGTGACTTTTCGTCAAGAAACTCTTCAACGAGAGGGATTGGTTTTCTTGATCTCCGTTTACCTGTACGAGGAGAACGCTTCCTAGGTGGCGGCATTCTCAAGACCTCTTCTTCAACTCTAATAAGTTGGTGAAGAGAAGGATGAGGAGAGTGTAGTAGTTGTAAGTGATGAGAAGGAGCTTCTTGTTGTTGATCATTAATGTTATTATCTTTTCTTGTGTAGAGTGAGATAAGATGAACAACAAGGAAGAATCCGACAACGGTCCATACTATAGTAAGTAGTGAATGTCTGCAACTTCCTCCTGCAATTATTACAATGTAAAGAATGTTTTTTGTTATTCCTTGTAAGAGTTTTATGGAAGATATTTAAATCAAAATCTAGCAAGTTGATTTCAGATCCAAAGCTAAGCAAGATCTTTGAGACTAAAGTGATATGAAGAGAAGAAACAAATTTGAAGTGTTCAGAGGACGGAAATGATGGGAAAGCTTTACCTGAGAGTCCCCGGAGACCGGGGGAAGCTGAATTTCCCGGCATCTATGTATATCAGATGTGGGAAACGAGATTAGGAAGGTGATTATTGGGATACCAAAGCTAAGATTATTGAGACAGATACCAATAGTTTGGTAAAGGGAAGTGTCTTTAGTTGAGATGGATCTATCAAGATTCTTTGATGATTCCGACGTGCGAACGAAGAGGGACGATGACAGTGAGTGTTATGATTCAACTCTTCTTCTTCTCTGATTCAACTCTTCTCCTTCTTCTTTCTCTGCGATTTGTTTTGTTCCTCCCTTTGTATTTAAATAATTTAAATATACATGTGGTGGGAGGAGTCATTAACATGTGCAATAATCTCTTTTATCTATTTAAGCTATTTGATTTTCTTTTCCATTTAGAGGGTGTTATTGGTTTATATATTTTAATGGATTTGAAAATACAAGTTAAATTCAGTGTTATTGGTTCTGTAATTTTGAAATCCGTATTCAAATTCATTGTTATTGGTTCTATGATTTTAAAATTCATATTTAAATTCATTGTTATTGGTTTTGTGATTTCAAAATAGATTTTAAAATAAGGTGTTATTCAATAATAATGATTTGTTTAAGGATTTAATTTAAACTTGGATTTGAATGGATTTGGGAGTGATTTGAAGTTAAAAATACAAATGAACAAATATTGAGTTAAACCTTGTTATTTTGATACATCTATATTATTGGTTTTCCTAATATTTCTTTGGCACCAATTTTCGTATGTATATTGCATACGTTAATAATGAAAAGCACTAACAAGACTTTTGTTAAACGGTAGTCTTGAAACAAATTCCATTAGAAAAACATAAGCACTCACATTTTCGAAAGTTTTCTACTTTTTTTTTTTAATTTCCAGTTGTCCCATTTCTACATTTTTCTAACTAAAATAATAGTTTTTTTTTTCTATTTTCTATTGTAATGGTCCATCATAATGTATATATAATCTCTATTATATGTTAGAAAATTAACACAAGAAACAAAAACTTGACACCCGTAAAAATGTCAATGGGAGAATCACAACAAGAACAAGAAAAACACATCTTGCAGTTTTTATATTTAAACCCAACTTATTGCAAATCCATTGGATTGATTTATGATAATCTAGTTATTTTGATTTTGAAATCAATGTATTTATTCTGAAATCTACTTTATTTGATTTTAAAATCAATGAATTTAACAAAAATTCTAAATCCAAGAAAGAATCATAAATTCATTAAAATACTACAACTAATAACCCCTACTNGCAGTTTTTATATTTAAACCCAACTTATTGCAAATCCATTGGATTGATTTATGATAATCTAGTTATTTTGATTTTGAAATCAATGTATTTATTCTGAAATCTACTTTATTTGATTTTAAAATCAATGAATTTAACAAAAATTCTAAATCCAAGAAAGAATCATAAATTCATTAAAATACTACAACTAATAACCCCTACTTACTATCATTTAAGGATATAATCCCATTAAATTTAACAGTTTTAATAATTGGTTTAGCTTTGTTATCTACTCTTAAGCTATGTTTTAATTTTATATGATAATTTCCATTTATCATTTAAGGATATAATCCCAGTTAATTTACACAGTTTAATAATTGGTTTAGCTTTGTTATCTACTCTTAAGCTATATATTTGTTTTATATAAATAATTCATGCACATGAGATGTGGATCTCGAGTTGAGTGGTTGAAAAATTCGTTTTCCACCTTTCTTCAACTCTAAGACTTAAATAAAACTCAACCGTTTCCAAATGATAAATCTATGGTTGTAGACATGATACTTGTTGAATCACACTTATTACAAATGTCATATCTTCATTTCTTTCATCTCCTCTGTCCTGTTCTTTGAGCTAACAATATCCCTGATTTTTCCATCAATATTTACTGCGAATTTAAACAAATCCGATGATATTCTCTAAGACCATCTCCAATCCATTTATGGAGTGAAAAAAGTGATATTCCTCTATTTTTTACTCTATAATAGAGTAATTCTATTTTAAATTGAATCATTAGAACAAAAATTACTCTAAAATAGAAAATAAGTTTGAGTTAGAGATGCCTTAAATATGTTTTTGAGAAATTCAACATAAATACTTCTATGATATGTGCCATCCAGTGTTGGCTTATTCTAGAAGAACCCATTACTAGTGGGACTAATAGGCCCATTACAAAGCCCATTTATACGGATATCTATCCATTATTGGCTAAAAACGGCGCGCATAAGTGCATCTTCCAATCCCACTAACTCCACCGCCAATTTCTCCTGAAATCGCCACTTACCAGCTAATCATTAGTTAATGGTTAACACGCGCCACCTTCGCGCGAGTGGTGGTGTGATCTGCACATTCTTCTTCCGAACTTCTCTCTGTCCCATCGAATCTTCATCCTCATTGGCTGACACACAATATTTAATATTTACAAAATAGCGCCATGATTTTCGCTCTGTCACACACACCTTCATCTCCCCTAATCCAATCCGGACCGTTAATCACACGACTAAGAAGATTTAACGGTCCAGATTTCGTGATATAAATGATTTGAAGTCGCCGTCTCTCGATAGAAAAAATCTTAGACGAGATAAGCAGCGCAGCCAGAAAGCCTTAAAAAAGAAAAGAGAGGGAGAGAGAGAAGGTTCCATTTTGACCCCATAGAGAGAGATCTCGTGGAGGTTAATTTTGTATTCCGACCGATCTGTCTGTCTCTTTTCTCTACGGATCTCTGTCTTTTGTCGGAAACTTTTTTGAGTTTTTTTTTTTGTGTCTGAATCATAAAAGATGGGTTTGTGGGATGCTTTTCTCAATTGGCTTCGCAGGTTCGTTCCTGTCTCTCTTTTCCTACAATTTTTTAATTTCTTCTGGTTCGTGGGATTGTGATTTGTATTGTTCCTCTTACGTATTTGAGTTCAATGTCTGGAAAAAAATACGAATTTTCAATTCTGGTTATGTGATTTGCTAGAACGAATTTAGGGGTTTTATGCGAATTAATTACTGATGCATTGGTTTCGTTGTCGAGAGTACCCAATAGAAAAAAAAGTCTGTAGCTTTTGATGTGATCTTCAAGTCTTACCTTATTGATTTGGTAATCAAGTTTGGGTTTAGTTTAGACAATATGGAGATCATCTTGGATTCTAAAGGGCTAATCAATAGATGAAGAGTGCTTCACAAATAGCAAATTGAATAGAGTTGCGAGTAATAACATGTAGAAAGAATCCTATGGAACTAATTGTTAGAGAAAAGGGCTACTTGATTTGTTTTCTTTGGTGCATTGAACAACTTTGGCAGATCTCAATTTTTTTCTATTGTTTCATTTATGCTTTTATTTTTTTGCAGCCTCTTCTTCAAGCAAGAAATGGAGCTTTCGTTGATTGGACTTCAAAATGCAGGAAAGACATCACTGGTTAACGTTGTTGCTGTAAGTATATGCTCTATGCTTACTAACTTTCTCGTTCTATATGTTTCTTAACCCTTATTGATTGTTTCTCTCTTTTTGTTCAGACTGGTGGATACAGTGAAGACATGATTCCTACGGTGGGTTACACTACTCCCTATGATGTTTTAAGTAACGAAACATTTGCTCGCTTTTGGATGAATCATTAAGTGGATTCTTCTACTCCTTTCTTTCAGGTTGGCTTCAACATGAGGAAAGTGACAAAGGGAAGTGTCACTATCAAACTCTGGGATCTTGGTGGTCAACCTAGGTTCCGCAGCATGTGGGAACGTTACTGCCGTTCTGTTTCCGCCATTGTGTAAGAATCTGTATTTTTTTTCACTATTTGGGGCTCAGCTTCTTGGTTTTCAAATGTGTAAAACTCTTGGCTCTTGCTGCTGATGATGGTTCCAGGTATGTAGTTGATGCTGCTGATCCTGACAACCTTAGTGTCTCCAAAAGCGAACTCCATGATTTGTTGAGCAAGACGTCCCTAAGTGGTATCCCTCTTCTAGTCCTCGGAAACAAAATCGACAAGCCTGGAGCTTTGTCCAAAGATGACTTAACCGAGGAAATGTAAGCCTAACACAACAAAAGACTTGTCTCTTTAACTTTGATTCTGAAGATGTTTTTTTTGCCGTTGTTTTACACAGGGGGCTCAAGTCGCTTACAGATAGAGAAGTCTGTTGCTTCATGATATCTTGCAAGAACTCTACCAACATTGATCAAGTGATTGATTGGCTTGTAAAGCACTCCAAGTCTGCAAGCTAAAACAGAACTCACTTCAAGTTCTTCATCTTCTCTCAGTCTTCCTGTGTATTTGCTTCTTTGATGATGGTGGTGGAAGAAAGACAATTTTTTTTTTTAATTCTGTGATAAACAAGATTTGTCTTTGTTTTCTTCTGATTCTTTCTTCTTCTGCGTCTTCTGTTCTCTGTATATTAGCTTGAATTGGTTTTTCTTTACATTCACCATTCCTTCAGGGTTGGATTTGTAAGAATTAAAACATCCGGGCGTATTTCGTAAAATTTAAAGAACTTCAGGCCAAAAAACGAAGATTTTCAAAATAAAATAGCGATAAAAAACTTTCTTCTTATGAATGCAACAACATTCACCTTCCTTCAGGGTTAAAATTGTAAGAATAAAACCATACGGGCGTATTTCGTAAAATTTAAAGAACTTCAGGCCAAAAAACGAAGATTTTAAAAATAAAAATAGCGATAAGAGATAAAGCTAAAAAAAACTTCACGCTCTCACTTCCACACTATCCTCACACAAACGATGGACGCTTCCTCGGTGGTGAGATTCTCCCAATCTCCGGCGAGATTACCGCCGAAATTCGAACCAGACATGGAGAAAATCAAACGAAGGCTTCTCAAATACGACGTCGCTCCCACACCTAAAATCCTCAAAACTCTCCGAAAGAAAGAAATTCAAAAACACAACCGGCGAACAAACCGCCAAACCGATTCGGATCCGGTTTACACGGATGCGCAGAGACAGTCTATAGAGGAAGAAGCTCACTTCGAGACGTTAAAGCGCGAATACAATCAATTCACGAAGAAAAATAGCGGCGACGGTGGTGATTTGATCGTTGGGAATCCATGGGAGGGAATCGAGAAGGTGAAGTTGAAGGAGCTTGTTAATGGTGTACGGAGAGAGAGTGGCGGGAAAGAGAATCTGAAAGAGCTGAAGAAGATACTTGAGGAGGATCTGCGTTGGGTTCTAGAAGACGACGTTGATGACGTGGAAGTGTATAAAGAAGAAGAAGAAGAAGAAGAAGAGAAAGGATTTGATCCTGTGAAACGGTGGCGTAATGAAGGAGAGGCAGTTAGAGTTCTCGTTGACAGGTATCATAATTTTCATAACTATTACACTCTCCGTTTCAATTTAGTTGTCGATGTAGACTAAAATCTCCGTTTCAATTTAGTTGTAGACTAAAATCTCCATTGAAATTTAGTTGTTCTTGTAGACTAAAATTTTCGTTTAAATTTAGTTGTTGTTGTAGACTATAATTTTCGTTTAAATTTAGTTGTCGTTGTAGACTAAAATCTCCGTTTCAATTTAGTTGTCGTTGTAGACTAAAATCTCCGTTTCAATTTAGTTGTAGACTAAAATCTCCATTTAAATTTAGTTGTTCTTGTAGAATAAAATTTTCGTTTAAATTTAGTTGTCGTTGTAGACTAAAATCTCCGTTTCAATTTAGTTGTCGTTGTAGACTAAAATCTCCGTTTCAATTTAGTTGTCGTTGTAGACTAAAATCTCCGTTTCAATTTAATTGTCGTTGTAGACTTAAATCTCCGTTTCAATTTAGTTGTCGTTGTAGACTAAAATCTCCGTTTCAATTTAGTTGTCGTTGTATACTAAAATCTCCGTTTCAATTTAGTTGTCGTTGTATACTAAAATCTCCGTTTCAATTTAGCTGTCGTTGTAGACTAAAATCTCCGTTTCAATTTAGTTGTCGTTGTAGACTAAAATTTTCGTTTTAGTTGTCATTGTGTTTTATAATTTCAATGCAAAATTTATTGAATTTATCTTACTATTATATTTTGTTGTGTACAGGTAATTGAGTTTTTTTTTCTAGAAAATATGTAAAATTAAATGTTTTTGTGTAGAAACCAGTAAATTGAAACGGAGGGAATATTATTTATCAATATCGCATTTGTTACATGTTCGTATCTAATAGAATTAAAGATTATACGATGATGATGTAATTGGTGGCTGTAATTAGGTTGAGTAGTAGAGAGATTAGTGAGAAGCATTGGAAGTTTGTGAGGATGATGAATCAATCAGGGCTTCAGTTCAATGAAGATCAAATGCTTAAGATTGTTGATCGTTTGGGACGTAAAAGAAGCTGGAAGCAAGCTTTAGCTGTTGTTCGTTGGGTTTATTCTGATAAGAAGCGTAAACATCTTAGGAGCAGGTGACTATTATTAATAGAAAGATTTAAAATTTTTATGACTGTTGTTTCTGAGATTATTACAAAACCTTTAATAGGTTTGTATACACAAAGCTTTTGTCTGTTCTTGGGTTTGCAAGGAGGCATGAGGAAGCTCTCCAGATATTCAATCACATGCTTGTAAGTCACTTGTTTGAGTAATTTCATTATAAACATTACACAGTAAGCATTTTAGGTGCGGTTTTTTGGGTTAACTCTCATCCCTTTAGTCAATGTAGGGTGATCGTCAGTTGTATCCTGATATGGCGGCATACCACAGTATCGCTGTGACGCTTGGGCAAGGAGGTTTTTTGAAAGAGTTGCTGAAAGTAATTGAGCGTATGAGGCAGAAACCTACCAAGCTAATTAAGAGTTTGCGCCAAAAGAACTGGGATCCTGTGCTTGAACCAGACGTGGTTGTGTATAATGCTGTAAGTGAGCTTTTGCGAGTAAATGAAACTTTTCAATATCTATTATGCAGCGAATCATTGTCTCTAATTGCTGCCTCGTTTCTTGGCAGATTTTGAACGCTTGTGTTCCATCACGCCAGTGGAAGGCTGTTTCATGGGTATTTATAGAGTTGAGAAAAAATGGCCTGAGACCTAATGGAGCTACATATGGACTTGCGATGGAGGTAATGTCTTTTCTTTCCAACAGATGATTTTTTAGTTAGATGCGGTGTAGTTGTAGTGGATACCCTGTGTATATTTATTCACAGCTGTCTTAAAAAGATGCCTGTTACAGGTTATGCTGGAGTCAGGTAAGTATGATCGTGTTTACGAATACTTTAGGAAGATGAAAAGCACTGGCGAAGCTCCAAAAGCAATTACATACAAGGGTAACTACTGCTTCTCTCTGTTTATTGGTTTTATTTCTTCTTTTTGGTGTTTATAAGGTAATATGATTCTCAGTTCTTGTAAGAGCGCTCTGGAGAGAAAACAAAATCGAGGAAGCTGTTGAAGCAGTTAGAGACATGGAACAAAAGGGAGTTATAGGAACAGGTTCAGTTTACTATGAACTGGCGTGCTGTCTTTGCAACAACGGGCGTTGGCGTGATGCAATGCTCGAGGCAAGTTCCCTCATTAAGTTTACCCTTTCTGCTTATCAGAAAATCTGCGATATGAATTTTCTCTAGAACGCATTAGTGCAGGTTGGGAGGATGAAAAGGCTTGAAAATTGCAAACCCTTCGAGATAACCTTCACAGGACTCATAACGGCTTCACTGAACGGTGGTCATGTTGATGATTGCATGGCTATATTCCAGTATATGAAAGATAAATGCGATCCGAATATAGGAACCGTGAACACGATGCTTAGAGTTTACGGAAGGAACGATATGTTTATCGAAGCTAAAGAACTGTTTGAAGAGATTGTCAGAGAAAAAGAGACTCATCTGGTCCCAGACGAGTATACATACAGCTTCATGCTTGAAGCTTCAGCTAGATCACTTCAATGGGAATACTTTGAGCATGTGTATCAGACAATGATTCTCTCCGGGTATAAAATTGATCAAACGAAACACGTACCAATGCTTATAGAAGCATCAAGAGCTGGGAAGGTAACGAATCTTCACATAGTTTAGTGTTTATGGAAGGAAGCATGAGCTAATTTAATTTTGTTTTGTAAATGCAGTGGAGTCTTTTAGAGCATGCCTTCGATGCAATTCTTGAAGATGGAGAGATCCCTCACCCAAAGTTCTTCACAGAAATGTTGTGTCATGCGACAGCTAAAAGTGATTACCAAAGAGCAATCACACTGATCAACACCGTAGCTCTCGCTTCGTTCCAGATCAGTGAAGAAGAATGGACTGATCTTTTTGAGGAGAATCAAGACTTGATTACTCAGGAGAATCTACAGAACCTCTCTGATTACGTCCTTGACTGTGATTATGCAAGTGAACCAACGGTCTCAAACCTCTCAAAGTCATTGAAGTCTCTATGTGAGTCTTCTTCTTCTCCAACACAGCAGCCATTGTTACCCATTGATGTAACAACTCAAAGTCACAGAGAGAAACCAGAAGAAGATTTGCTTCTTCATGATACAACAATGGAAGATGAGAATGATGTGAAAGGTGAAGCTTGGGAATTTACAGAGACTGAACTAGAGACGTTGGGTCTAGAAGAACTAGAGATTGATGATGATGAAGAATCCAGTGATTCTGATTCACTTTCAGTTTATGACATTCTGAAAGAATGGGAAGAAGAGAGTAGTGACAAAGAGACTTAAACTGCTTTGTAAATTTCTCAAAATCTTAATTTACCTTCTTATTCATCTCCTCCACAAAAAGAAGAAAGAAAGTCTCAGGTTTTACAGAATCTCAGAGTTATGAACATACATATGATCAAACTGCGGATTTACACTGCTACTAACCAAAACAAAAAAAGAGAAGAAAGGTATTGAAAACTTTTTTAACTCAGCAGTGATGATGAGATACCGCCTGATTGGTAATGACATCTATATATATATATATATAGGGGGATGCTCTGTTATAGAACTTTCCCATGATGACTTGTTCTTTTATGTGTTTACCGAGTATGATTACGGATCCTCAACTTCAAAGCTTTCACGGCTGCTTTAGCATATATCTGAGCAGCTTCAGCTTCGGCTTCTGCTCTTTCCGCCTCTTTAGCTGCTTCTTCAGCCTCTGTGATTGCATATTCTGCTTCCGCAACTGCTCTTGCGGCAGCTTCTGCAGCGTCTTGAGCTGTCATGCCTTTTATCATAAACATATCTCCGTCTACCTCCGGGTTTGGTGTGTCTTTTTTGTTGTTTCCTTCCAAGAGGAGTTGGGGAGACTTCTGTCTTGCTCCTACGCTAGTGAAATTAGTAGAGAACCTGTACTTGTGCTTTATCTGAATGACAACAAGAGCCAGTAAGCATTTGAAATATGCTAATGAAGTGTTTGCAATCATGAATCTTGAATCAAAATCTGTGTGTTGTTACCTTAACTAATGGTCCATTTGATGACAAGTGCTTTAATCGCACTGAGACATTTCTTTTCATATTCGGCGGAGTCTTGAAATTCTCCTGAATTTTTACATCTGCTAAGTATTTGGCAAAACTCAAAAGAAAAATTAGATTCACAATGCTAAAAGCATTACCTCTATATACATAAAGATGGATGTTCTGTCAGAACCGCGTGGTTCCTTCAAGTTAGTAATTGCCTCCAAGATAATCCTGTCCAAACTACAAGAACAGACAATAAATAGCTCAAGATCTAATACTTAGAAAAAAAATTAAAATCTTTATGTGGTGCATGCATGAACCAAACCTTGTAATTGATATCTTTGAGGCATGAGTTTGTGGCGATCCAGTAACAGAACCACCAGGCGATGTTGGATTCGTACGTCCTTCTCCATTGGCCAAAGGGACAATGCTAAGAGGTGTAGTGTTATTATTATCATCTTGTTTAGGAGCTGGCAATGTTCTTCTAAGTGCAAGTTTAGCCTTCTTCCTTGAACCCCATAACGCAGTCACACTAATGTTTCTCCACTTGTCCTGTTAAGCTTTTGAAATATCAAAAGACTAATCCAAAACAAACAAAGCAGATATCTTTATCCAAAACCCATCATTAATCCAAAGGTTGTACCTTGAGATCGACATTAGAGCGGGACTTTAGAACAGAACTAAACTGAGGATCAGAGAGTATAGTACGCCACTTGCCAGTTCCATGTTTAAGGACACCAGCTTTAAGGGCAGCTTCTTCTTCAGGTGTCCACTTCTGCTTTGGGGCACCCATCCACACTTCTCAACAACTTCTCAAGAAACTAAAGTTTAATTTTTTCTCTTTTTTTTTTTCTGCAAAGAGATGAAAAATACAACAAAACCTTAGATTCTGTGTAATAGGGTTATAAACTAAGACTAAATCCATGTAAGGTTAACAACAATTAATAGATTCGAGACATAACTAAACCAAGACAGTTGCAAATCCCATGTCTTGTCATAACAACAACAACAAAAATCCATTAATAAGGTCGAAAATCTAAAATCTAAAATGAAAATGGAAAATTACGTTAATAATCTCATATGTCAGAAGCGAAATCACCTAATACAATGCTACGATCGGAGAAAACGAAAACATAATTGAGGAAGGAGGAGAAGCGTGCCAGATCAAACCGAACCAAAGGAGAGTTTTTTTTTCTTTTTAAGGGAGGAAACAGTTGATGATGGAAGCTATTTCTTCATGTGACATGGATCAAATGTGAAATCTTACAATTTCGGGTGAAATGAACGAAGAAGAAGACAAAGACCAGAGACTAATAACCACAAGGAAGAAGAAGAAACAACATCCATAGATATGAGAACCAAAATAAAAAACAAAAAGCTTTCCTTTTGTATCCTAATTACACAATATTACCTTTCTTAAAGTAGCTCTTTATTTATCAATATTCATCAATTTGCCTATAATTTATATCACATTTATAATATAACCCACATTATCTAAACCTACTTCGAATAAATATTATTTTTTCAGCATAACTATGTTTTAACCTTTTTAGCATAACTATGTTTTATTTATTTTTTCAGCATATTACAATATAACCCATATTATCTAAACCTACTTTGAATAAATATTATCTTTTCAGCATAACTATAGTTTTGTTCGTTTTTAGAATGTGGCGTCAACAAGGTGCGATCAAAAAATATAAAAAAAATTTAAAGCTCAACAACCTAAACAAAATAGAAAGTAAAAAAATGATAACTTTTGACGCTATGAACAAATATACGTCTGTAAATAGACACTGTCTTTTACAGCGGCAATAAAATTATGAACAAACTGACCAGCGATAGCTTCCGACGGCAACTACACATCAAAACACCATTGAAAATGTTTTCACCTGCTTATTATTTTTGGCCGCTGTCATAATCGCGTCAGAGAAACGAACATGGCTTATGTTTTTTTTAAAGATATTATAGGTGGATAGGGTGTGAGTAGACACTGTCTTTTACAGCGGCAACAAAATTATGAAAAAACCGATCAGCGATAGCTTCCGACGGCAATTACACATCAAAACACCATTGAAAATTTTCTCACCTGCTTGTTATTTTTGGCCGCTGTCCTAACCGCGTCAGAGAAACGAACATGGTTTATGTTTTTTTTAAAAGATATTATAGGTGGATAGGGTGGGGTTTACTGATACTATTAATAAATTAGGGAGTATTAGAGTAATATAGATAAAGTATAATGGCTGAAACTAAATTTTATTAACTTTTCACCTTCTCTATTTTCTTAAAATCTACGGGAAAAAAAGAAGCCGAAAAGCTCAGAGATTCATTCATTCCAGATTTCAACAACATTGACGATGGCGCTTCGTGCTACTCAATCCACTGCTCGTTTCGCATCGAATCTCCGACGTCTCGCTCGTCCTTTCTCTACAGACGCGGTGGTTGAGTCTGATTCCAAACGCGGCGAGATCGGTAAAGTCTCCGGAATCCCCGAGGAGCATCTTGCTCGCAAGGTAACCCTAAATCCATTTGCTTTCTTCCTCCTTCTTATGAATCGAATTAGGGTTTCTATGGATTGAAATGCGGAATAACTAAGGGAAATAGTGATCTAAGTTTGAATCTTTTCTTTTGTCATTAAAAAAAAAGTAAATCTTTTGTCCGAAAAATAGAGATAGATCGTGTTTTATTTGGTAATGATGGTTCTGTTGATTTTGACTTTGTCAGGTGATAATATACTCACCAGCTAGAACAGCTACACAGCAAGGATCTGGTAAACTTGGCAAATGGAAGATTAACTTTGTCTCCACCTTAAAGTATCTACCTTTCTTTTTTTTTTTTACTCTCTTTTTTTTTGTTTTATTGTTTTTTGTAACTTGAAATAATCCTCTTAGTCATCAGTTATTTGACATTTGATGTGATGTTTGTTAGGTGGGAGAATCCATTGATGGGATGGACTTCTACAGGTGACCCTTATGCCAATGTTGGTGACTCCGCTCTTGGTTTTGATTCTGAGGAAGCTGCCAAGTCTTTTGCTGAGCGTCATGGCTGGGATTATGTGGTATGCTTCTTCTTTCCTTCTTAATTTTTCTGGGTACACAATACATTAACGTTTCTATGAAACTGTGTGTAAGGATTCTGAGTACTTAAAAATACCAAATCTTTGACTCATGGCAGGTCAAGGAGCCCAAAACACCCTTATTGAAGGTTAGTATCTAATCCTTTACACTTTATCTGTTTAAGTCTCAGTAACCTTTGGATGTTAAAAGATTGTATTTCTTATCTATAGTTCAAGATTTGTGATATAGAGGCATTGCTTGAATGTAAACTTGTGTTGCTTCGTCAGTTCTGGCTTGCTGCCTTAAGATATAGAAAGCTTTTCCAACGATGATTTGTTTATCAAATCACCATATCATTCTGCATATCACGAGAATGCATAACATGATGAAACTATATAAACTTTTATAATTTAGATAAGGACCGTCTCTTTGTTTGTCTCTCTGTTTCAGTCTTCAGTTTGAAGATTTGTACATAAACTAAGTATGGCTCGTCTTTACCATATAACTGCAGGCCAAGTCATACTCGGACAACTTCAAGTGGAAAGGCAAACCTCAACCAGAGAACTGATCTTACTACATCTTCTCTTCCATTTCTCGAGCAAAAAGAGATACCTCGCTTGATATAAAGAAACGCTGTCTCATCTTTATTCTTATTTAGCATCTGTGAGCTTTTCAACTTGAACTATATTATCCATGGTTGGATTCTTTTTTTTTTCCAATGTTTCCTTTATTACAATAATAATATGATGATGATGATGACAAACACTCCTCTCGTATTTCATCAAAAGCTTTATGATTAATTTTACAATTCTTCTTCACAGCTTCGATTATGTTTAAATTAAAGAGAGAAAGAGATGGTCATAGTTGAGTTAATAATCCCATAATAAGGTACAAAAGTTCAAAAGACAAATTCGAAACAGAAGAAATAAAGAAGATAAACAACAGGGGACGACATATTGTTGAACTAGACACAAGTCTGTCTTTTTCATTGCATGTAATGAAAAAGCAATCAGTAAATCCTCCGATCAGAAACAAGCATCCAAGAGACAGCAACAGCAGAGTGCAGCCAAACTGTGATCCACAGTTAATAAACAGAGCATAACATATTAACACTACCGGATCAAGAACCAAAAACAATAATAGGTATAGGAGGATCAAGAAACATACCATCCTTCGAGCATGCCGGGTTGCTGCTTTTGCTGTGGAGCTTGAGAGTATTGAGGTGGAGGATAACCTTGAGCAGGGTATCCCTGACCATATCCTGGTGGTGGATAACCGGCGGGAGGATAGCCAGCCGGAGGATAACCGTCCTTAGGAGGATACCCTTTTTCATCAAGATTTTCAAAAGCATGTTAAAACCAGTAGAGAGAATAAGCTCAAAACAGAGTCTCAAAGATCAAAGAAACTACAAAAAGAGACATTTTACCTTGGGGAGGAGGAGCACCGACAGGATGTTGTTCTTGATTATACATCTTTTTGAGTTCTTCTAAGCTTTTTTTGTTTTGTTTTGTTTTGTTTCTTTCTCTTCTCTTTTTAAGCAAGCTCTGTTTCCTTCCTTTATAGCGAAGTTATGACGGTGAGCAATTATATTTACTTTTTTCTTCTAATTGATTTGTTGATACAATAAAACAGAAAACTAAAGAAGATATTCCAAAAACGTGTTTCTTGCATTTAAATCTTCCATATTCTGTTCAACTTTTAACACTAAAAACACAGTATTCATCATACGCTTTAAGAATAACGCGTTAAGCAAACTATGTAAAAAGCTTCATAAAAATATAAATTCTACTATTAATTATTTTTGGGTTGATATCATCTTTTCCTAACATAAGGAGAAAGGCAAATCAAAAAGCTCCTCGTTTGAATAAAAATAGTAATGAGATATTATAATTCGAAAAAGATAAAACTTTTATCCACCCACATGCTAGTCCACATTCCCATGTCATCAATAATCTTATTATATAGTATTCGAATATTAATATCCATATTTATAAGATTCACATCCATCATAAAAGTAGAACCCATTAAGAAACAATGCGTGTTGCATTGTCTACACACAAACATGATACACAGGCCTAAAACAAGAACCAATTAGCATCGTTACAACAAATCGTGGCAACATCATCCACGAAAGTAAAGCTAAAACACTAGCAAAAGTCATAAAAGAAGAAAACAACTTTGCCTACAAGAAAGAGCTCTCTACAAGAGTTCTCTATCTCACTCTCTCTAAGCGGTTTTGAGACTTTAAACCGGCTTGGATCAGGACCAAGGCAGCCATTTCCGAGGCCGGTTTGTGCTACCAGCCTCTTTTCTTGGAGTCACATTGATCCTATCCGCATTTGCTGCTGCCCATATGCTAAAACCAGGTGAAGAAACCAATTCTTTAACCGCCTTTGTCGTGCTATCCTTTGTGAGCTTCTTCCACTCTTCTTTTGATAGTTTGCTCCTTTCAGGAGTTTTATGGAAAGAGGAAGGGAAAGTATCTGATTCAGACGGTGGAGACTGTCGCATCCCACTTTTTCCTGAAAAAGAAACGTTAAACAAAAAGCTTATTTATTAATTTCATTATACGTTTTGAGATGGTGTTATTAAGAGAGATTAGGAATCAACCTCCTGATGAAGAAGCAAAAGTAACACGATTGCCAAATTCAGAAGCATCAGGACTCTTTTGCATGAAGTCATGAAGATATCCAGGGATAGTTGGTAATTCAGCAGAACGAACTGCCTCCCAGATTCCTATCAGTAAATTCAATGGAATCCTGCGCAAAAGAACACAAATAGATTACAGCTAACCTGAAGAGTTTGGTTTGTTAAAGAAAACGGTTAAAAACAGATCGATCTTGACTTACTCAAATAAGCGTAGTATGAACTTCAATCTGGTGATCTTCTTTAAACTCGACGATATAAGAATTACAGATATCAGTGCTCCTACAGCAAGCAAAGGATCTACAGAGCTCTGGAAACAAGACATTACTGTGAAAGGATGATTTTCGGTTTGGTTAAAAGGAAAAAGTATAGTTTGAGAGACTCTGTGAATTAACCTGAAGAATCAAAACCGCAGCAACGATCCGGATAGACCAAGAAACAAAGAGTGATGTGCTCACGTCAATTGAGCCATCTTCGGTAAGAACCAGTTTCCTCACCGTCCAAAATCCAAAAAACGCTCCAGCCAAAGATAGAAACACCCCGGCAAATATCGCTACCTGCAAAACCATCACACGGAGACAAAAAAAAATCTTCAGTACAAGTATGAGAGGGGCATTTCTTAACCAGTAAAATATTGACACTATCAAAACTTACATACAGGGGTGTACATGTCTTCATCGATTCCCATCTCAGTTAACAGGCTTTGAAATACACCAGGAATGTAGCGTAGCAGGAAACCACCTATACCAAGCTGGCCGAAAGAAGAAGGACAACAAACGTGTGTTATATACAACAAGGAGGTTGGAGAAAACGGGAATAACAATAAAAAAAAAGTAAAATTATTTAGCAATCACCACTCACAAGGGTTGAGTACATGAACAACGCAAACGAGCTCCGCCCTGTTGGTAATAGCTTCATTCCCTGTGTACACATCACATTACAAAAACGAAGTTAAGAAGCGAATACCTCTCTTTAATATAATAAGTTAACACAACACAATAAGGCTACCTGAAAGAGGACAAGCAGCACGACAAGCATAACACCAACAGCCATTGCACTGCTGTAATAAAATGCTAACGATTGGCTCAGCGTCGAAGCCGAAGCCAGCAAAACCGCACCAAGTATCAAGAACACTATGCGATACATGGAAAACTCTACAAACCCCAAAACAGAGTTGATTAATTATCGCAAAATAAACACAATTGCTAAACCAGAACAAAAGTGAGAAAGATCACCTTGTACAGCAGACAGTTCCAGATTGACCTTGTTTGAGCTAACAGATCTTACATCAAGTACTTTGTAGTCGAAAGGCGACATCGTCTGAACCCATGAACCCTTAGTCGCTTTCTCCCACCGACTAGTCGGGCACATCCCAATAGCTCGCGACACATTCCTACAAATCAGTGAAACATTTAGTGAATCATACATTGTTATTATCTCAACCAAGGAACTTACAGACACTGGTTATTAATTGTAATTACATCCAAAAGTAAAAATTCAAGATCAGAAGAAGAAGATAAAGTACTCAACCTGTGGAAACAAACATCAAAGTTACTTGCTTTCCCAGAGGTTGAAGCATTAAGTACCAACTTCAACGAATGTGCGTACATATCCATGTGTTTAAGCCTTTTAAGTCCATTGATACGTATCCTCTCACACAGAGAGATTCTCTCAGGCTTCAATCCAGGAGAGCCCTTCACCTCTAAACTAGGGCTCACTTGAATCGCCTTATTCTCTCCCACAACTGTCCACACAAAAATTACATATTACAAACATTTAATTGTATGTAAACCCTAGATTTGTGCAATTTCTACAGAACCACCAAACCCTAGATTTTCTACAATTTTCACCCTAAGATTCCACAGACCAAATCGCAGTGTAAAGAGAGAAAATTTTACCGAATAGAAGTTCATCTGATGAGACTAGAGAGTAGAAAGTGAAGAGATGTAGTAAGATGATTCCGATGACGACGCCGGAGCTTCGGAGAAGACGATAACCACCCATCGATTTCGAGAGGGACGAACGACGATGAAAATAAGGTTTGGTAAAGGCGCGGATTTGATTCAACCATAAAAGCCTGATGGTATTTATCTTAATTAGTATATGGGCCTTTAGAAGCCCATCTCGAGCCCATTTTTGTTTTTTTTTTGTCGGGAAGAGCCCATTCCCTTGAAGTGTTAACTTTGGTTAAATTTGATACGACTTGCGTCCAAATGCGTGATGCTTTGAAATAAGGTTTGCTTCGTTAATCAACATATTAGTCAGTACTGGCTATATACCAAGGTAGAGCTAATAATGAAACTGAAAATGATTGAGCCGTTAATTACGTTACGTATAGTTAACTGAACCTAATGTAATTACGCATCAGTCATTGGCTCATTGACTTCATGACTAATTGCTATGATTGACACAAAAGAGGCCGACCAAATGAGCTGTTCATACACATTTTTTCTTTCTATAGTTACAGATGAATAAAATAAAAAACATGTGAGTAGTAATTCAATAATTCTAGGCTTTACAGCTTGTTTAAAACGCATCATCTCTTTAGTTGACTGGTGGTTAATGCTTAACGTGATGTTTATTACGTAAACAGAGCATGTTTAATGGAGGTTTCTAAACGGAGATTATTAGCGGAATATAAGAATTCGTTTCATAACTTTTAACTAACAAAATTAAAAACCGGTTTTTAAATTAAAATATTTAAAAATCTATTCTTAGTTTTTTAATTAAAAGTTAAGAGACGATTTTTAATTCTGCTAAAAATTGGATTTTTAATTCCGCTAAGAACCTTGCGCTAAAAATCCTCTATTAAACATGCTATGGAACGTTATCATTGGATGTATAGAAACTTTGTGTACACCAAACAAGGAAACAAAAAAGTAAATGATTCATGCTAATCAGAATCTGCAAATAATGTTGCAATATTGCCGCAAAGCTTTTAGATCTTAGTTTAAGAACGCTCAAAATTTTAAAAAGCACTTGAAAATATAGTTTGAGACGGGATATTCATTTAAAGCATTTATGATAATAACATCGCTTTACATAAACTTTTAATGTTGTCGGATGTGCTTTAAGAATATCGACGCTTTTGAAGTCATGAGGATCTAAGTTCAGGAATGCTGTGTAAAGCTGGTCTCCACCCACCGCCACCTCTTCCTCCTCCGTGACTCCGTCTCATAAACCCATTTCCACCGTCTTCTCCGGCAACCTATATAAAACCCGCCAAGTTAAATCAAACATCCATACGGACAAACAGTCAAACACAGTTTAGCCTGTCTTAGACCAAAATTTAAGGCATGTGAAATATGTGCATTTGCATATGGTCATGTGACCCGTTATAGAATTGCAAACATTATTTAAAACATATAAAAAATATTCTATATGACCGATAATATTATTTTTCAACTACTGAACCGGCCATGCGAACTTACCGTATCATTAGACTCATCTTCTTTCGGATCCGGATCCGAACTAGGGTTGACCCGACCCTTTACCTGATCTGACTTCTTTCTATGTTTTTTTTTCTTCAGCTCAAGCCCTCCTCCGTCTTTCAATAGCTTCCCCAGCTTTACACACTTCTTCGTCGCAAACTCGTTCAAAACCTCTGCATACAAAATTATTAATAGTGTTAATAACATAACAGAGTAATTAATAATAATAATAACAATCATAGGAGAAAGATAATATGTATGCCTTCGAAGCTGACGAGACGGTAAACATGTCCGATGACTAAAGTGTCGTCAGGACGAAGCAGCTTGAGCTGCTTCAACGGCGTCCCTTTCTCGTTCTTTAATGTCGGTGACGTCACTACCACAGCAACGTAATGACCAGGATTGGATTTCATGACGTCACTTGCTGTCACCGACCAGTAAATCCTCTCCACCTTGTTCTCCGCGGGGTGATGGATCAAAATTGTCGCTGCCTCTGCCGCTTGACAATTCCCCATTTTACAAAAAATTTAACCCAATAAATAAGAAAATAAAACAGTTCTTTTTTTGTTGTTGTTGGGTTCTTGTCTGGTATAGTGAAGTATATAAAGAAAAGATAACAAGCGTTATTAATAAATTGTAACGTCACTATTCTTCCTCCTTTGGATTTGTCAGGTTTGACAAGAGAGGACGATGGATATCGCAAAAAAGAAAAATTATGGGAAAGAAAAGAGATGTCGACGGAGATTAAGAAAAGAGATGAATAAATAAGGAGGTTGGGCTTAGAGGGTGGTGGAACTATTTATTATATTTTGATTTCTAATGATAATGACATTATTGTTATTTTTATAGGAAAAGTAATTAATGTTAGTAAGGATCTTGCATATCGCAACCATAGAATTGATTGCTTAATTCTCTTGTATTATTAAGTTGACCAGAGTTTTTTGGGGTCTCTAGTTTAAGAACAAAAACAGACTGTAAATTTAATAACTATCCATTTTTAAGTTTCTACAAATGCTATTCAACGTTTTAGTCTCATAGACTGTTTACTGTTGATTTGATAACTAATCAGAAATATTTGAATGTGCTAAATACCTGACTAACTCTGCCAGATAATGCTCAAAACATGCTCATTTGTTTTCGGTTATCTTACAAAAACACGTTTTCACTAAAATAAAAAAATAATTTTCACTAAATTAAAAAGTTGAAATTGACTGACCAAGAAATTAAATTCGTTACACCAAAACACGCCACCAAAAACCGATGAAGTCTGGTAAGACAACACTCCTAATTAAATTTTCTGAATGCGTGTCCAAGTTGTACTGAGTAAAAGTGTAAACACGATACACGCATAAATATGCATGCAGAATAGGCTTGGGCGTTTTTAACTCAACCCGAAATACCGACCTTAACCCGAACCGAAAAAACCGAAACCGAATTCGAACTATTTTACAAAGATATCCGAACGGAACTTATGAGCTTAGTACTTTGAACTATGGTTATAATCCGAACCAAAGCGAAATCCGAATTAGGATTTTTAAAAATATAGTTAAGGTGATTTAGATATTTTAGAGTACTCAAAATATTTTTGTAATTTTTTTTCTTTGTTATTTTGAATATTTTTAGTTAATTTAGATAGTTTAACTAATTTTTAATTAGATTTGTAAATAGTTTATATATTTTGAAACTTTCTTTTGTCAATTTTTAAGATTTTTAAAAATATATTTTTGAACGATTTTAAACATTGGTTAAATCCGATCCGAACCCAGAAATAACCGAATCGAATTCTATCCGATAACTAGTAAAAACCGAATGGTACTTGTGAACATAACATCGAAAATCCAAATAATCAGGACCGAAACCGAATGGGCCACTAAACGCCGATGCCTAATGCAGAATACACAACGCTCGTTTAAATACTGGGCTTCAAAGCCCATTAAAATATCTTAACGGGCCAGTATTGGATACGAAACAAAGATCTAATTCTTACTACAACGATCCAATAGTTAAAACATTCATTACATCTTAAAAAGAAACCAAACATAAAAGTCATTGATCGATAACATTCATAACAAACGAGCAAACAAAGAAGGATCTTCAAGTTTGCATAGCATCTTGTTCTTCTTCTCCATCAGCTTCGATAGGTTCGCTGAACATATACTGACTGTGATACTCAACAAGGTACTGCATCGATCTCCTTGCATCCAAGAACAACCGATAAACTCTGTTGATATCCTCAGTCTCCACGACTTTCCCTTTCCGTTTCTGGCAAGACAACGCAGAAGCTGTTATCAGATGAATCGCATACCTCAGAGAAGTATCACGTCCTATCAAAGTCAACAACTGCTTGGCCTCTTCGTTCATCTCAACGTCTTCTTCTCCGCAACGGATCTCCAAGATCTTCCTTATGTCATCCTCAGTGTAAGGCTGAGTTGTGATGATGAGGAGACGGTCGAGGAGATCGATAGGGATCCCGTGAGGTGATTTCTGGTTTGTTCCGCGGATTGTTGTGACTCCTCGGTTTGTTGCCACGACGAGGATTGGTGACATTTCGTCCTCGAGAGCTCGGTTGAGGAAGGAGAAGCATTCGATGTCGAGCATGTGGACTTCGTCTATGAAGAGAACACCGGGGACTATCTCAGCTTTGCCTTCTTCTTTCCATTCCGCTACTTTTGTGTTGATTTGTTCCCGGACTTCTGATCGGATTTCTCCTGTATCTCCGGTGAAAAGAGCTAGAAACCCTTGTTCCCTGTTCACCAACAAAGAAGAAAAATCAAACAAAATCGCTTCATAAACAATACCAATAACAAAATGTTTTAGATACATAGTTACAAAGGTTGATCTAACTAGCTCACTGAATTAAAGAGATGTCAAAATGAAAAATCAGTCTAGGCATTCAAAAAATCCCGCCTAAACATGAATCCTCTATTAAACGATCATTTACTATTAAAATGTCTTAGTAATATAATTACAGAGGCTGCTCTAAGTCCCTGCTCAAAAGATATGTCAAAGTGAACATCAAGCATGATAATTCCAAGAACATATAACTCAAGGAAGTAACCTCAAGCCTAACACATCTTATCTTGCACCAAGTGAGCCTAATCAACTAGATTCCCAATCATTTAATCACTCAAAAACACCTACCAACACACTAATCCTCTAAACACCAAATCAAGATACAGCAATGTCACACAATTTCAAGAAAGTGTTAAACTTTTTACCTTCTATCAAACGCCTAACCACATCTTACCAATTTTTTTAACATTAAAATATCTTACAAATATCTCTATCTCACTACTCAAAAGACATGTCAAGAACATTTAACGCAAGGAAGTAACCCCAAACCTAACACATCTCATCTGAAACTACTGAGCCTAATCAACTCAATTCCCAATCATTTAATCACTACAAAACTCATCTTAACAATGTAAAGTGTAAAACTTTGTTTTTGTAACCTGCTGTTGATAACATCAATCTCATGAAGTGTAACACAATGCACAACCTCTTTCCTCTTCTGCAACTCCCCATCAGGACACTGCACAAACTTAGCACTCGCACCCATCGCATCATAATCCCTCGACCTCGAAAACGACCTCCCGAGCTTACTTATCTTCCCCGTCGCCTTATCCATCGCAATCACATCCCCGCTCTGCACTTTCTCCTTCCCCAACGCCTCCACCATCTTCTCCCCCACATCATACACCGTCTCCATATCCGCCGTCTTCATCGTCAGCTTCCCCGTCTTCTTCCCCGCCCCACCACCACTCGCCGCCCTATCTATCTGCACCTCAACAACCTCCCCTTCAATCACCTCCGTCTCTTCCTTAATCCTAACCCCAATCGCCTTCCGAAACGCCTGCGTCAAGGCCTCCGTCTTCGACATCTCCAACGAGAAGATCTCGCTCCCCGCGATCATCGCGAAGGGGGTCTCCGACCCTAGCGATTTCGCCATCCCCATGGCGATGGCGGTTTTGCCTGTGCCCGGCTGTCCAGCGATTAGGATCGCGCGGCCGGCGATTTTGCCGTCTTTGATCATCTGGAGGATCACGCCGGCGGCTTTGCGGGCTTTGGTTTGGCCGACCATGCCTTCGGAGACGGCGCGGGGCTCCAGGGAGGAGTCGAGGCCGAGGCCGCGGATGTGGGAGTGTGCGCCGATTCGTTCCACTCTTGTTAGGTCGCGGCTCTCTGATAGCTTTAGTTCCGCCATTTTTTTAGGGTTTGAGATGATTTGAGAGGCGGAGGAAGGAAGGAAGAAGAAGGAAGAGCTTATAGAGGTTTCTAGGGTTTAGAGAAGTTGCTGTGCAGTGGCCAAGTCAGTGTGTTTTGAAGTAAGCCCTTCTTAAGGGTAGAAATGTAATTTTAATGAAGAGTTATTCATTTAGTAATGTGCCCTTGTAATATTGATGAACTTACATTTTTCTAACTTAATAAGAAATTTTTGATGATAGATCCTGGGTTCTTACTGGTTTACAGCTCTCCCTGGCCAGTTTTTATGTTATTCATGTGGCACAAATACTCATTTTATAAAACTAAAAATACCATACTTTATAACAGATATTTTTTATAAATATTTTTTTTTTATTTTTTAACTAAGTTCTTATTACATGTGTGTAATGTAGATTATATGTGCTATATGCATTTATAGATGCTACTCAAATTTTATATTAGTTTTACAATTTCAGATTACAATTCTATTTTAATATGCCAATACTAATTTAAATAAATAGTTATTTGTCAGTTATTTGAGATTATAAATATAATTTTTTATTTTTGTTTTAATGCATATCTTTATCATGAACTGGCATATTATAAAGATTAAAGAGGTTTGAGATCTTATGTATTTCTATTTATCTAGAGAATATAGATTTTATAAGGGTTAAAAGGCTAATTAGATCTTATATTAAGTTTAAATAAACTACTTGTTGGAAAATTAGATATGATGACCATGTACCATTAAAATATGTTTAGACTACATTAATATACATTGAGAGTGTGGTTTTGTATTTTTAAACAACACTAAAGTGTCTAAAAATTATAGATAGCATTTATCAGAAAATTCAATTTTTCAAAGGTGTTAACCCACATATTTAAAGAAAAATTAGAAATTTTTGTATTTTTGTTTTAATGCGTATTTTCATCACAAACTGACATAGTATGAAGATTAAAGAGGTTTGAGACCTTCTGTGTTCTCATTTCTCTAGAAAATAGAGTTTTTATAGGGGTTAGTACACTAATTAGATCGTATATGAAGTTTAAATAAATTACTCGTTCGAATGTTAAAAATGATGAACATGTACCATAAAAATATGTTTACCCTACATTAATATACACTAGGATTGTGGCTATGTATTTTTAAACAACACTAAAATATTTAAAAATTATAGATAGCATTTATCGAAATTTTTTTTTCCAAAGGGTGTTAACCCACATATTTTAAGAAAAATTGGATTTTTTTTTGTTTTGTTTTAATGCATATCTGCATCATGAACTTACATATTATGAATATTAGAGAGGTTTGCGACATAATGTGTTCCCATTTCTCTAGAAAATAGAGATTTTATAGGGGTTAGGACACTAATTAGATCGTATATCAAGTTTAAATATACTACTCTTTGGAAAGTTAGATATGATGACCATGTACCATGAAAATATGTTTAGATTACATTAATATACACTGGGATTGTGGTTTGGTATATTTAAACAACAATAAAGTGTCTAAAAATTATAGATAGCATTTATTGGAAAATTCAATTTTTTCGAAGGGGTTAACCAACATATTTCCTGAAAAATTAGAAAATAAGGTATTTTTGCTTTAATGAATATTTGCATCATGCACTAACATAATATTTATATTAATGAGATTTGAGATCATATTTGTTCTCATTTCTGTAGATAAAAGGTATTTTTTTTTTATTTTTGTTTTAATGCATATATTCATCATACTCAGACATAGTATGAAGATAAAAGAGGTTTGAGACCTCATATGTTCCCCTTTCTCTACCATGTACCATGAAACTATGTTTAGACTACGTTAATATACATTAAGAGTGTGGTTTTAATGCAAATTTTACTTTTGTTTTAATGCATAATTACATCATTAATTGACATATTATGAATATTAAAGAGGTTTGAGACCTTATAGGTTCTCATTTCTCTAGAAAAATAGTATAGGGGTTAGGCCACTTTTTGGATCATATATCAAGTTTAAATAAACTACGCGTTGGAAAGTTAGGTATGATGACGATGTACCATGAAACTATGTTTAGACTACATTAATATACATTAAGAGTGTGGTTTATTATTTTTAAAAAGCACTAAAATGTCTAAAAATTATAGGTAGCATTTATCGGAAATTTCAGTTTTTTCAAAGGTGTTAACCCACATATTTAAATAAAATTAGAATTTTTTTTATTATTGTTTTAATGCATATATTCATCATACTCAGACATAGTATGAAGATAAAAGAGGTTTGAGACCTTATATGTTCCTCATTCTCTAGAAACTAGAGATTTTATAGGGGTTAGTACACTAATTATATCGTATATGAAGTTTAAATAAATTACTCGTTGGAAAATTAGAAATGATGACCATGTACCATGAAAATATGTTTAGCCTACATTAATATACATTGAGTGTGTGGTTTTGTATTTTTAAACAACACTAAAGTGTCTACAAAATTATAGATAGCTTTATTAATGTAGTCTAAACAACACTAATTTTTCTGATAAATGCTACCTATAATTTTTAGACACTTTAGTGTTTTTAAAAAATTCCAAACCACACTATCAATGTATATTAATGTAGTCTAAACATATTTTCACGGTACATGATCATCATTTCTAACTTTCGAAAGAGTAATTGATTTAAACTTCATATACGATCTAATTAGTGTATTAACCCCTATAAAATCTCTATTTTCTAGAGAAAGGGGAACATATAAGGTCTCAAACCTCTTTAATCTTCATACTATGTCTGAGTATGATGAATATATGCATTAAAACGAAAAAATAAAAATTCTAATTTTTTTTCAATATGTGGGTTAACACCCTTGAAAAAATTGAATTTTCCGATAAATGCTACCTATAATTTTTAGACACTTTAGCCTTTTTAAAAATAACAAACCACACTCTTAATGTATATTAATGTAGTCTAAACATAGTTGCATGGTACATGGTCATCATACCTAACTTTCCAACGCGTAGTTTATTTAAACTTGATATACGATCTAAAAAGTGTCCTAACCCCTATAAAATCTCTATTTTCTAGAGAAATGAGAACATATAAGGTCCCAAACCTCTTTAAGATTCATAATATGTAAATTGATGGTTCAAATATGCATTAAAACAACAATAAAAAAATTCTAGTTTTTCTTGAAATATGTGGGTTAATACCTTTGAAAAAATTGAATTTTCTTATAAATGCTATCTATAATTTTTAGACATTTCAGCGTTTTTTAAAAACAACAAACCACACTCTTAATGTATATTAATGTAGTCTAAACATAGTTTCATGTCACATAACTTTTGCAACGCGTAGTTTATTTGAACTTGATATATGATCCAAAAAGTGGCCTAACCCCTATAATATTTTCTAGAGAAATGAGAACCTATAAGTTCTCAAACCTCTTTAATATTAATAATATGTCAATTAATGATGCAAATATGCATTAAAACAAAAAGAAAAAAATTTCTAATTTTTCTTGATATACGATCTAATTAGCGTCTAAACCTCTATAAAATCTTTCTTTTCTCGAGAAATATGAACACATAAGGTCCCAAACCTCTTCAATATTCATAATATGACAGTTAATTATGCAAGTATGCATTAAAACAAAAATAGAAAATTTTCTAATTTTTCTTGAAATATGTGGGTTAACCCCTTTAAGAAAATTGAATTTTCTGATAAATTCTCTTTCAAACTTTTAGACATTTAAATGTTGTTTAAAAATACCAAACCACACTCTCGATGTATATTAATGTATTCTAAACATAGTTTTATGGTACATGGTCATCATTTATAACTTTCCAATGAGTAATTTATTTAAATTTCATATAAGATCTAATTAGTGTACTTATCCATATAAAATCTCTATTTTCTAGAAAAATGAGAATATATAAGGTCTCAAACCTCTTTCATATTCATAATATGTCAATTAATGATGCAAATATGCATTAAAACAAAAAGAAAAAAATTTCTAATTTTTCTTGAAATATGTGGGTTAATACCTTTGAAAAAATGGAATTCTCTGATAAATGTTATCTATAATTTTTAAACAATTAAATGCTGTTTAAAAATACCAAACCACACTCTCGAAGTATATTAGGCTAAACATATTTTCATGGTACATGGTCATCATTTTTAACTTTCCAACGAGTAATTTATTTAAATTTCATATAAGATCTGATTAGTGTACTTATCCCTATAAAATATCAATTTTCTAGAAAAATGAAAAAATATAAAGTCTCAAACCTCTTTAATATTCATAATTTGTCAGTTTATGATGAAAATATTTATTAAAACAAAAAAAAAAGTCCTAATTTTTCTTGTAATATGTGGGTTAACCCCTTTGAAAAAATGTAATATTCTGACAAATGCTATTTATAATTTGCAAACACTTTAGCGATTTTTAAAAATACCAAACCACACTCTTAATGTATATTAATGTATTCTAAACATATTTTCATGGTACATGGTGATTATACTTAACTTTCCAACACGTAGTTTATTTAAACCTGATATACACTCTAATAACTGTCCTAACCCTTATAAAATCACTATTTTCTAGAGAAATGAGAACATATAAGGTCTCAAACCTCTTTCATATTCATAATATGTCAATTAATGATGCAAATATGCATTAAAACAAAAATGAAAAAAATTCTAATTTTTCTTGAAATATGTGGGTTAATACCTTTGAAAAAAATTGAATTCTCTAATAAATGCTATCTATAATTTTTAAACAATTAAATGTTGTTTAAAAATACCAAACCACACTCTCAATGTATATTAGGCTAGACATATTTTCATGGTACATGGTCATC